TAAAAGGATATCATGATTAGCAAGTAGAAAGATAATAAGTCTTAAACTAAGGCGACAGAGGGCCTATAAACTAAGACATTAGGCAGATTTGGTTGGTTATTATGACTCTACCCTGGTCTTTTTATGTGGTCAGCCCTCTGAAGATTTGCTGTTATTTAAATTTTAATGTTTTTAAAATGGCATGGAAATGATATAATTACTACTCAATTACCTGCTTTTAAGGTACATTCCAGGTAATTTCTTTTTCTCTAAAATAAAATGAGTAAATTTTGCTATGTCTATAAACCTAGCAACAACACAGACAAACTCCTTTATTTCCCAGTTATGTTGCCTTGCAAAAGTGAGAGAAGCAAAAGAGGAGAGAGAGTTTTGAGTCATATGAGTCGAGACTAGGATGCCTCTGTTGAGAAATGGTAGCAGTTGGGAATCCCAGCTACTTGAGGGCCTGTAATCCCAATTACTTGGGAGGCTGAGGCAGGAGGATAGCAAGTTTGAGGCCAACCTGGGCAACTCAGAGAGAATCTCATGTGAAAATAATAAATAAATAACCAACAAATCAACCAACCCACCTAGGTCACCTCCTGTTGTTGCTTCTTCAGGAGTTGGTGTGGCAAGGAAGCAAAGAGCAGAGAAGGTGCCATGCTTGCTAAGGCATGAGGGCCTCCCTTTTCTGACCCTCCTCTCTTCTCCTGATGCTCATGAAACACTGGATGGGAGTGGGAGAGGGGTGGGCTGGGGGATGGGAGTGGGGTGGGGGTGATGGTTTTAGGAGTTGGTGTTGTGTACACAGACAATGAAAAAACATCCTAGACTGTCACTTCTCCAACTCCTTCCTCCTTGGCCCTCCTGTTACTTTCCCCTCCCTCCCTCTGCTCTCAGAGCGTGCCAGGTATGTTCCCACCTCAGAGTCTTGGCACTATGTCCATGGTGTCCGACCTGGATTGCCAAGGTTCTGCTCAATGTCCCCCTCTCAGTGAACCTTTCCAGACCACCCAGCCTAAAATAGCACCATCTCCACATCTCCTCCTCCTAGAGAATGGGAGCTGCAGAGCTCATGAGCTGACTTCCTGTAGCACCTGTCAACGTCTGACATATTGCACATAGTGTCTGTCTGCTGTCTAGGTCCCCCATGCACTAGACAGGAGCTCCGGGAGAGCACCGGTGTTATTCTGTTTATTCAGGGCTGTGTGGACTACAGTGCCTGTCACAGAGTAAAGCGTTTAGTGAATGTTGAATGAACGAAAGAAAAGAAAGGCTAGAAAGATGGCCGGAGATGCTGTTTCATGCTCCCCTCTCCAGGAAACCACAGGGGACTGATGCCACACATGCTAGGAGGACTGGCTCCTGCTGACCATTTTCTGTCAGAAAAGAAGGCTCTGCTTGCCTCTCCAGCCACAGGGCATCCTCTCAGGGAAGGAAACAGAGGTTTCTGTGGATAAAACACTCAAACAAAAGAAATCTTATCCATAAAACAATTACATCTTCTCTTAGGAATAAAGAATGAAGTGATCAAAATAAATCATGCTTGAGAACTTTGCCTCTGAAGTCACCAACTACAAAGAAACTTGAATTTCCAAAGCTTAAGGACATGTGACTGGGCCCTACCTCGCACGGGGTGGGGGGGTGTGAAGACCGTGTGTCTAGGCGTCCCAGCTCTCCACCCTCCCAGCCTGAGCTCTGCAGCTCCCACTCTCTAGGGGTTGATGCAGAACCATGGGCTGCAGCAGATACAGTGACTAGGAAAGTAAGTTAGTCATCACGAGCAATAGAAGCTGTGGGTCAAATGTCACTGACTAATCAACCCGTCATTGGTCAATTACCTATCTCCATGAAGAGGTGCCACTGATCTAGTTTCCTATCAATAAATGTCTATCTGGGCACATCAGCTGCTGTAACTGCAGCCTGCCAAGATATCCAGCACCGTTCACAGGCATTGGTGGCTAGGAAATCTCTCTCCCTTTCCTCTTAATAATGTCACAGAAGAGGCAAATGCAGTTCCTCACAACATAATGTTGGTTTCACCGAGACGTGTCTCTTTGGGCGCTCAGCTAGTTATACAGAGCTTCAATTGCATGGATCTTCTTAGTGAAAAAACAATACTTGGGCTTATGGAAGTTGGAGGCTTCATACTGTGCTGAGATACACAATTCTGCCTCTGGTTGTGCTCCTGCTCATCATCCTCCCTCTGAGTCAGGAAAAGAAGAATTTTTTTGGGGTGGAATCATTTTCATTCCACATTTAAAGAAAACCAAATGAGCACTGCTCTCTCCTGCACCAATGACACATTTTCCTAGAGTCAGATTCAACATCTCTGATTCTCTGGTAGGGGCAGAGGCCAAGGTGGCCTTGTCCCATGAAGAGCCTGTTTGTCTTCAATTGTCACCCTGGCAACAACCATATCAGGTTCCTGCCGAATCTAAAATTATAGATTTCCTACCATACCTCCTACAATTCCCCCTGTATCTGACAGCCCGCCTCATGCACATTTAACCTGACAAGAGAAGCTTATTTGGAGTTGCCACAGATTTACATGCCAGGTGGGCAGGGGGGAGCCAGCAAGTAAATAATCATAATACAAATGCTGTGACAGGAACTCTAGACCAAATGCATGGGATGGCAGAAGAGGGGTGTCTCAATAAGCCCAGGAGATGACAGAAGGTTAGAGACGCGCTCCCTAAGGGGTGAATAAGAAATAAGAGGGGGTAAGAAATAACAATAAAGGGGAATAAGAAAGACAGGTAAGAGAAGGGAACGAGAAGGTGGTAAGAGGTGTAAGCAGTGAGAACAGGATGATCAGAGATTGGAAGGCAGGGAGTAAGAAAGGACAGGCACCATAAATGCTAACAACTAACAGCAAGACAGGCTGAGGTGCTGATGTAGAGGCTGCATGGCAAGGTGGAGGCTGAGAGAAGAGGCTGTGCAGACAAGGCAGAACGCTGTTAAATGGTTTAGTTGGCACTTTCTCCTGAAGGCAAAGAGCAGCCATGAATCCTCTTAGGGAGGGCTGTAGCCACATTAGATTGATGGTAAGGGTAAGGGATGGCTACACATGGAGGAGGGAGAGTCAGTGGAAGTCTGAAGGTCGGATAGAGAACCCAAACTACAAAGGTGCAGCTATGGTCATGGCATGGGTGGAGGAGAGGTGAGCTGGTGAGGTGTTTGCAGACGGTACTGCCAGGACTTCAGGGCTGGCTGGTAGGAGGGGGAGGAACAGGACAGGTCGAGATTTAGAAGAGCCTCATGTTTTTGGCTCAGGCAACAAATAAATTGGAGAGAAAGGGTGCTGCTGACTGAGATAGGGAGTCTCCCCCACAAGGTAACTTGAGAAGAAGGGGGAGGACAGAAGAACTTCACCTTAGACATCTTGATTTGAGATCACATGGAACACCGTCAGATGGTGGCAGAGGTGGGGAGGGGGCACAAAGTACCAAGGAAACGAATGGAATAAAGAAAATATCACAAGAGAGCGGGTACAGCTACTAAGCTGCCCGTTTGCTTCAATCTTCATTGGCAAGAAGACTGGCCTTCAAATTAGAAATGGCAGAACAAACATAATAAAGAGAAAATTGAAGTCCCAAATAGGTGAAGTGAAAGAAAAGAGAGTATCCAGTCAATTTAAATGATTTCAAGTCTCCTGGCTCAGATGAGTTACACCCCAAGCCTGCTGAAAGAAATTGCAGATGTAATCTCAGAGACACGACTGGTAATCTTTAAGAAATTGTGGGGACTATAAGGAGTGCCAGAAGACAAAAGAAGGACAACTGTTTCCCAGATTTTTAAAGTGAAGAGGAATAGATTATAATGGGAAATATACAAGCAAGTTTCACATAATCTGTGACAAAAATTCTCAAACAGCTTATTAAGTAGGTGGTTGATGAGTACTTTAGTTAATCCATGAAGCTAATGAAAGGAAGGGGGTTGTTGTTTGCAGTGTGACAGTTTTTATTTGTACTGGTAGCCTGTCTAGACTGGTTGTGGCCGGTCTTGTACCCCTCTGTAAGCCTAAGTGAGTGATCTGGCCTTCAGTCTAAACTAAAGGCTTCTCTGATTTGCTGCCTTATGGTACTTGGTTTGTGACATGGCCCTTGATGAAAAGGGGTTGCCAATTTAATGAAGAAATAGACAGTCTGAATTTGCCAAGGAATTCAGCACCAAGTCCTCAGGATACTTGGGAAACCTCTGGGGTTATTAGCCCCTTGACAAATCTGTGCCTGTCACACTCCTACTGTCTTATTTTTGTTAGTTCTCTCTTTCAACACACTGTCTTAAAGAAGAGAACAGGAAATGACACAGCAAATGTGGCACACGATGGGGTGGGGGAGGCAGTCAAGAGCCTCCAACACCTCCACCCCAGGCAGACTGAGAAAGACTCATAGAAAGACATTTTTTACAGGAGGACTTTGGAGGTCTTCTGGAAAGGGCAGGGCAGGGCAGGGCAGGGAAGCCTACTCAAGATCCAGACAGCCCTCTTCAACTAAAGGAGCAATACCAGTCTCCACTTAAAAATTACATATTCCTACAAATCAAGCAAAGTTAAAGTGCCTTTCTTAAAACAAAAAAAGGGATAATGAAAAACAACCCAGACACAAAGTTACTAACAAGATTTTAGAACCAGGTTTCATATTCAGATCTGTTTGGTTCATATGCAGTCATTTATTAACACTGAAAACAATTTTTCATTCTATGTAAGACCTCTTTTGACATGTTACCCTGTCTCTAGCCAATGCAAAGGGAGACTTGGGAGGGAGTGAACCCGGCCCAGGTGGGCCTCTTCTCTAGTCTCCCATGCCTGATGTCGGTGCCTCTCCCCACCAGAAATCCAAATGTACATCTGGAATCTTACTGCCTCAGCCTTCCACTCCTACCCCCTTCTGCATGTTCAGATCAGAGAACAGCAGAATTTCATCACTGAAGTTATCGAGGTCATAATTTTACCAAAATATAATTTTCATAAAAATAGTTACATTTAAAAACTAATTAATGAGCAGAAATAATCTTACCGTATTGATCCAATCATGTATGGTTGTGCCAGTTGAACCACAATTGCACCACTTCCTAGCTGGTGACACGTGTAGCCAGAATCCCAATCATAATTTTTAGTGTCCCCATTCAGCAAGGCATTTCGGCTCCGACTGACTCCTTCGATTACACTGGCACAATCAGCAATTGTTGCAACATTCTCCATGGGAACTATGAATGCAAACCCAAGATTTGGCATTAGGATAAGAGAAGTCAAATAGATTCCAAAAGCATGAGCAGAACAAGATTAATTAATTACTATCTCAAATCAACAATAACAGGGAAATTAGAACATCTTGATTATCTTAATACATGAATTTTCCATGCCAAATAATTTTTAAAAAGTTGAACTTAAGGTTAGAACAAACCAAACCATATGTAGCAATTAATCCTATAGTATTTTATTATGAAGGAACACAATAACATATTAAATACAGAGTGGATATATATACCATAGAATATTACCACAAAGAGAAACTATAGAAATTGAGATTGGTGTGGTGCTGGGGAACAGACCCAAGGCCTTGCACACGCTAAGCAGGAGCTTTAACCCTGAGCTACATCCCTGGTCCAGTAAATGAGATTAATGAGCTGTAAACATACACATATGTTAAGTGGGAAATTCATAAATTCCGTATTTTAGAATTCACAAAGCAGGAAAGTGATTGAGGACATGATACCAATCGCTTCTCAGAAAGTACAGTTGGCCTCAGCCGTGATTCATTTCCTCTTCTTGTTTACTATTCTGTCACTGCAACACATTTGCTCTTTCCTTTGTTCATGAACTGCTGTATCTTGAAAACCCAGCTGTGTTTTGATTCTCAGTCTCTCTAAATACTCCAAGTCCATATCAACCTGCTCATTTATAAAAGTCAAGAGCTTCCACAAAATGATGGCTGCCCAGTATGATAAAGATTCTCTAAATACTGAGGAGAGAGCAATACAAGATAAGGGCATTTTAAGTCCCTGGGCCTTTTCTACAGGGTTTCTACAAAAATCTGCAATTTTCTTTAGACATTTTAGACCAAAATCGACAATGTCAACTTGCTATATTTTTTCAGTATATTATACTCTCTGAAAATACAGAGAATGAGCAATACTATCATTGTGCCAAAACACTCCTAACTTTATAATGATGTGAAATAAATAATCCTACATGTATCTTCTGAGCAATGCATTTATTTTCCAAAGTTGGACAAGCCTGGACTTAACACTTCATCTCATACTTCACTAATTGCTTTGCTTTTTGAAAATGAGAATGGCCACAGAGTAGGAAGAAATGAAGGGAAGGAGGGAGAGAGACAAGATGGTTTTCTGGTGACGAATTCTTTGACTCTGAAGTTTTAACTCCAAAGAAACAAGCAAAACACTGGTGAAACCACCAGTGAAGAAAATTTCATGGCAGAAAAGGGGTCCATGGGATTGCTTTGCCCAGTTTTTGTGCCTCCACCATGCTGTCTCGGTTACTATAATTTTAGAGTAACCTTAAAGTCTCCTAATATTAGTGCTTCTCTTCCCCATCTTTCCCTTCTTTTTCTTCAAAATTGTTTTAGATATTTTAGTCCTTTCAGTTAATTTTTACATTTTCAGTTTCTAAATACACTGACGTAAAGTCCCATGACTTTGGAACAAAACAAAGGTAAAGAAGTATCTTCAGAGGGCAAGTCCAGACATCTCCATCTCCAGTAAAAGAGGTAGTATTCCCTAATGAGAAGGGAGGACTTCCAGAAGTGGCACAAGACGCACAGTGAATGGAGCTGAGCCCTGAAACAGCACTCTAGCGCAAGCTATGCTGCAATGCTGCAATGACAGACAGCCCTCCAGTCCCCTAGTGGCTTCATGTAGCACATTTATTTTTCACATTTCACATTTTGTACTTAATCAGCCAGGTGGCTCTGCTCATGATATCACAAGAGATCCCAATGAAAGAGTTTTATATTGACAATCACAGCAGCAGGGAAGAGAATGATCTGGACACTGGCTCTTAAAATATTTCCCCAAAGCAATATGCCATTATGCTCACATTTCATTGGCCAAGGCAAGTCACATGGCTCTAAAAGGTTAGGCAGGGCAGAAAGAGCCATCCTGCTGTGTGCACAGGAGAGGTACTAGGAGGAAAAAATGGATATTCAGTGAACAATATTAACATCTATCATATCAGGACAAAGGAACACTCAATAGAAACATAAATATGATCATTTGTTTAAAATCTATAAAGTATTTCAACGTATAAATTCCAAAATGTATACATCTAGCTTCCCACTAAAGGGTTTTTAGACCGTTACCATTATTTTCTTCTTCATTACAAATAGAAGTGTGTCTTTGTGTTCCTGGCTAAGAATTTCCTTAAAGGAATATATACTTGCTGTATAGAATAATAGAAGATAATTAATAGAAACAATAGAAAAGAATTATACCCATATTTCTCTTCAACTTCCCTGAGTATTGCCAAATTACTCACCAAAGCAGTTATAAACATTTACTTTGAACTCACTAAAAGTAACTCTTGGTAATACTGGACAGAGAGTACGAAATTATACATCAGTGTGGTTTTAGTTCTTCACCCTTTTTCCTTAGATGAAGTTGAACCTTTTTTTCTACCTCTCCTCTGTAAATTGCCTTTTTTTTTATACCTTTTGTCCATTTTTCTATTATCCTTCTATAATTGATGTGCAGAATGACAATCTTTTGTAGGTTAATACTGAGTAGAAATATTTAATCTTTCATTTGTGATTTGAGCTCTCCCTTTCTGGTTTGTAAATTATTTCCTATACCCAATCCATAAAGATATTTTCCTGTATTTTCTCCTAAAAGTGTTCAGATTTTCCTTTTCACATTTTAATCTGCTTAGAATTTATTTTTGGAATGCTGTGAGATAGGAATTATTCTCATCTTTTATTCATAAGGATGGCCAATTTCCCCAGCACCATTTAATGAACAGTCCGTCCTTCTCCCCACTAATTTATGCTACTGTAGTCATGTACAAAGTTTTCCTATGTGCCGGCACCTCTCTTTAAGATCTCTATCCTGTTTCATGGATTGCTTTGCCCAGCTTTTGTGCCTCCACCATGCTGTCTCGGTTACCATAATTTTAGAGTAATCTTAAAGTCTCCTAATATTAGTGCTTCTCTTCCCCATCTTTCCCTTCTTTTTTTTCAAAATTATTTTAGATATTTTAGTCCTTTCAGTTAACTTTTACATTTTCAGTTTCTAAATACACTGACGTAATTTTCCACAGCATACCCACCATTTTTTTTTTTTTTTTTTTTTTTTTTTTAGTACCAGCAATTGAGCCCAGGGGCACTTAACCACTACTAAGTCACATCCCCAGCCCTTTTTATTTTTCATTTTGAGCCAGTCTTGCTAAGTTGCTTTATACCCTCTTTTTCATTTCAAATATCATTTATTTATATCTTTTCTTTCTTTTTTGATCAGTCCTATACTCGTTTTCTTACTTTATCTAGACTTTCAAAGAACCAACACTTAATTTTTCTTTTTTATCCTGTTTCACTAAGTTCTTCTCTTCATTATTTTCAGCCTTCTGCTCCTTTGGATTCACTCCCTCTCACCCCAACCACCCACTACTTGGAGTGAACGCTTAACCCCCTTCTTCTTTTCTTCCCTTTTTGCAGTGCTGGGGGTGGACCCAGGGCCTTACACGTGCTAGGCAAGTCCTCTGCCACCGAACCACATCCCCATCTCACGAGCCCTTCGCTCATTAATCTTTTTCTTTTCTTACAAAAGTATTTAAAGCTAACATTTTACTTCAAACTCCTGTTTTCACCTTTATCTTCAAGTTTTAACATACCACACAGTGTTTAAAAGAGCACTAGTCAGGTATTATGTAGAATGTCCCTCAACCTGCATTTGTCTGATACTTCAAAAGCTGACTACTTTCAATGTTTTCGAATTTTCATTATAATTTTTTCTTTGTTTATTCAGAGTATGTGTTTAGCTTTCCAAATATAATTTTTCATGTCATCTTTTCATTGCTAATTTTTAATTCCATTGCAAGGTGGACAAAAGGTGTGGTCTGTGTGGTAATGAGCATGCAGCATGTGGTCTGTGCAGTAATGAGGATGCTCTGTGGCATAGTATGTGATTAATTCTTAATATTTCATGTGTATCTGAAAATAAGTGTGTATCCTCTAATTTGAGGGCTGAATAGTTCTATATGTCTGTTAAATCAAACTTGTTAATTGTATTAAAATCATTTACATACTTACTAGTTTTTCAGACATTTGTTAAAAATCTCCTGCTATGACTGTAGTCTTGTCAGGTTTCTCCTTATAATTCTTTCAATTTTGTTTTATATATTCTGGGATCACATCATTTCATACACATCATTTTAGAATTATTAAACCTTCCTGGAGGACTAGACCTTTCCCATCACATACTGTTGCTCTTACTCCTAATAATGGCTTTACCCCGAAGTCTACATTATCTGATATCTTTACTTTGGGTACTATTTTCTTAGTATCACACTACTTTTTAATTTCCTAGTCTCTTGTAAATAACATACAATAGTTTTAAAATAGGCTCAGTGTTCTGTGTTTTTTAATGGGCAGATTTATTTACAAGTTTCTTCTTTGCTGTTTTCCTTAGAAAACTGGAGCAGAGTGGACAGAAAGCTAACAATTTGATGGTTTCCTTTATTTTCCTCACCAGTTCTCTCTATTGATTTGGTTTGGAAGTTGTACATTCCATTCTACGATTTTGCTAGTTATTTTTAGATAATCATATCAGACTTAACAATGCCTAAAGCTGAAAACTGCATAGTCCCTTCTCCTGAACAATACAGAAGACCTTAATATTTTTTAATACCAATCGCTTAGTGGCTTGTCATTATTATCTAACATTTTAGTTCTATTCTGTTTTATATTCTCTAGATTAGTCATTACTAGGGGCTGGGGTTATGGCTCAGTTTATCCACATTCACCAATTTGTTCCCCCCTCCTTTTGGTTCAACTTTCTTCAACTGATGGCATATCTATTAGTATTCGGCCAAGTTTTTGTCTGAAGGTGTATGTTATAGTTTGGACAGGAGGTGTTCCCCAAACACTCATGTGTGAGACATTACAAGAATGTTCTGAGGAGAAATGATTGGGCTAGACAGCCTTAATCTAATCAGTGCATTGACCCACCCACACAGATTAACTGGGTGGTAGCTA